AAAATTGAGTATAACGAGTTTGAGGCTAAAACTTGGTGTTTTTGCTAAATTTTGGGAGGTGAATTTTATGTAAAATTTTCAGAGCCTAACTCGTTGGTTTAATATACTTTCAAATGCAAGTTTGAATTTTGACAATTGTTTTATATGGTGATTTTTGGTTAAGTATTGGTGATCACATCTCGTTATGAGTTATCTGTGACTCGTGCGATTGTCTTTCATTTGCGATTATGTGGACTTGAATATGTGGTTTGATCGAGTCTAAGTCCTAGAGTTCTCATATCCACAGAACTTCACGAACCACTTGGCCGAATCAAGTTCGGCTGAGTCAATTTGTGAATTTTCTACTTAGGTCTAGATTAAAGTGTTGACTTTAGTATCTGGACTTAATGTAGGTGTCTAGAGGTGTTGACCTCACCTTATTTCGAGATTCGTGATTTTGAACTGTTGCTGCAACCAGGTGGGTACATTTATGATGTATTCCATATTTATCGCACTTACTATTTCGTATAATGCTTCTTTTGGAAAATGATTGTATGCGTGAGAACCCTAGTCTAAGTATCCTATTGGTAGTGCCTTTGACGAATGCATAACAGTGAGAGGTCACATGCCCGTTGTATCCGGGAGGAGACGCCCTGATCCGTGTGTGTTTCTGGGGGGAGAAACATTAGTTCGGGGTGGGGGAAATTTTCCAGTTACGGCCTTGCCGATGTCTGTATCCGGAAGGTTGTTGTATGTACATAGGAGGGTTGCGATAGGGCCAAGTAGGGAGTTAGACTGTTGGATTCTATGCATACTGAATATTGTGTTACTATTTTAAAATATTATGCGGGATAAACTGTGCGATAATGGTGAGCTTGCTGGTTATGTTCACCCCCATTATTTTCTTTGTTGTGTCTTCTCTTCCTTTACTTTAGGTTGAGACGAGCTGGAGGCGGTGGTGTAAAGACGAGCGAGATGGTGGTCATAAATGGATGTGATAGTTGCTTCCGCTTAACTTTATTTATGTTAAACTACTTGCTTTTGTTTTGGATTGTTAATGCTTCCGTCGATTTGGATTATTTATTTCTTCTCTTTCAAACTATGTTCGAGTTACGTTTGAACCTTGATTTATGCTAGACGATTTGAGAATGATTTTGAGACTTATGTTCTTTCATGGGATTGGTATTTTGATAGCTCGAGCAGGTGTAGGTTCTTTGAATTGTTGGATGTGTTTGTTTGTTGTTGTTAGTGAGTAGCGCCTGTACCTCGATGAATGTTTTAATTTGGATTTAAAAAAAAAATAACTCTGATTTTTATTAAATAAATTCTGTAAATTCTTTAAAATAAAACGGGACGTTACAGCCCCAGCAGGCCCGGCACGGGACCGAGCCCGGCCAGTCCGAGTAGCCCGTGACCACCCGGTCCAGAGTGAACCGGCGGTCCGACCCGGTCCGGTTCAGCCTGACCCGGTTCAATTAGTGAGCGAACCGGCCGGTTCAGCCGGCAGTTCGAGTCAGTTTTGGTTCGTGATTTTCGGTCCGAGTCTTATTCCGAAATCTAAGTGATTTTCCGAGCCAAACCAGATCAGTTAAGCGCATCAGTCTAATTTCCGGACTTAGAATTATTTTAGCGAACCCTTAGAGCGTTCCTTTATGTCCGGACGAGTAATCTGATAGAGTAGAGCATCCTAGCATATTATTGAGCATATGACGAGCATAGTACTTAGTATATTTGTTTGCTTATATTTTTTTATGTAGCTTGAGGAGTCAGCTACCAGCACAGCCACACTTACCCATTTTCAAAGCAGATCAGGTGGGGACCCAGTCTGGGTTATACATTGAGTATAATAGTCGATATCACGTTCAGGTATGTATATGAGTTTTATCCGCTTGGGGTTAAGGCCAAGTTTGCCTTCCCTAAGTTCTGGTGGTGGCCCAGTTCGCCATAATTATACCACCAGAGTGTGCACACGGTTACCGGCCATAGAGTTCCAGGAGTTACTGGCCAGAGAGTTCCGGGAGTTACCGGCCATAGTGTTCCGGGAGTTTCAGTTTACTTATATATACCGGTTCTGTGATATCATTTTTATTATTGTTGTTTACTTTAGAATGGGTTTTTATGGAGTACAAGTGGACCGTACTCACCCCCACTTTATATTTTCAGATGGCAGGGTCGGCGGGCAGGCGTGAGTCGAGCTGTGGTGGTTGTGGTCGTGGATTCCGCACGAAAGCTGTTCCCGGGACATTTGTTATCGTTTTGTATAACTAATATTTCCACGCATTTTCAGACTTTCCGCTATGCTTGCTTTTATTTCGAACTTGCACGCAGTACATTCAGACTTAAATAATCTACCCAGTTCGCCAGTATGAAAGGGACCAGTTAAATGCAAGATTTTCTTAAAGTCTAAACCAGTTGATAGACCTTGTTAAGGAAAACGGATTTTCAAAGCAAATAAGTTTTTAGCAGCATCCCGAGATAAGTTTGCAAATGATTGCGAAAAATTTATAAGCATTTTCGAAGGTAACATTTGCGAAAAATTGGCCCTAAGTAGCGGGGTGTTGCAACTGTGCTCATCCCCACTTGAAATTAATGTTTCAGGTTAAGAAAGGCAGGTACGACGACGGAGTAGAGCGAGTGGTGGTCTGTCCATAAGACCCGTTAATTATTGTTATGCTTTCGCTATTTGTACCACTTATGAATTTTATGACTTATATCATGATTTATGAACTTGGGATATTATAGAATTTATGATTTATGAATTTAAGGAATTTTAGATATTATTGATGATTGGAAAAATATTAAGGAGAATGCTCCTTAAGTACCATGATGATGGTTGGAACCCTGTTTGGGTCATTGATAAAATTTGGGGATCCCTGTTTGGGAGTTTGATGATTGGTAAACGTTGAAATGATTTTGAAATAAATGAGTAACGCCTTAAATGTTTGAATTAAATTTTGAAAAATTTATTCTGATTTTTGGCAAATAAAAGTGGGGCGTTACAGTAGAGCTTCTTCCAGTATGGATAGCTACAACGGGGCAATTCCGGCGACATGGCGGCATGGAGGGGCTTGTGGGTGTCATTCGCTTATGGTGCTGGACGGGGCTTGGGTCGGCGCACCTTCTTCCTTTGAACCTGTCTGGTTTCCCTGGGGTTGGAATCCGGCGGGGGCTTTATTGCCGAGCATGTTTTGTGCCATGGTATCTGAGGGTGTTTGAGGGAAGGGGGAGGGGTTGACCTCCAGGTGTGATTCTGGTGGGGATCCCTTGGTAAGAGAGACCTAGCTAGAGTATAGTCGATTGTCGTTAGCTAGGTCCTTTCAGAGATAGCAGGCGTTTCGTAAACGACTCTCAGGTGAGGTCTTGCTTTTCTAGGTCGTTGTTGGGTATTGGCTCGTGTTAGTGGTTTGGAGCTGCTATTAATATTAAAAAATTTAATTTGCTCCCCCTTTAAATTTATTTTTGCACCCCAGATTTTTTGTTTGTAAACGTCACTCAACAGCCAACTTGTCCACAATTGTCAATTAACAATTCAACACTTCTTTATTTTACTATTAATTTTGCATATTAATTATTTTCATTCTACAATTTTAATTGGCCCAAATAAAATACTTCAACTCTCTTTTATTGCCCAGGTTAGGGCTGGTATTTTTTAAAAACCGAAAATCGAATCGAACCGAACCGAACCGATGAGAAATAAACCGAACCGAACCGACTTATGTGTAACGGTAACTGAAAATCGGTTACCGAAATGTTATCGCTTCGGTATCGGAAAAGAACCCATTAGGGTTCGATTCTGAACCCATTATGTCATGTCTTTTGTTCCATCTCAACTAATTTTTTAGTTTCGCCCCTGTATTCTTCACCTGTAAAAATAGCAGTATTAGTGTGATTCTTTTGTGTGCGCTTTGTTAGTTCTGTGTAGTCTTACAATCTGAATTCAATTATGTGGCTGATTCATTTGGCTAGTTAGCTGCTTATACAGATATGTTTTTTTATTAATGTAATGTAATATATCCTTAAAAAATGGTATCCTTATCATCTATACTTATATAATAAGAATTAATATTTATCCAAAATAGTAGATCAAATTATGGTCAATGTCGGATTTACATTAAATATTTCCCAAACTGGTAAGTTTTTGTCCTTTTCACACTTCTCATTAATAATGTCTTTTTCACACTTCTCATTAATTATGTTCTTTTCACACTTCTCATTAATTATATCATTTTCACACATCTAATTAATTCATTAATTACGACATAATTATCATAAATCATTCCATCTGAGCTTTTATCGTTAAAATGTATAGCGATCTGTTATGACCTTATCTCATTGATATTTCCCTGAAGCGTCCTTATCGCGTTCTATTTTTTGGTAACCACTCTATATCAATAACCGGATATTTGGTTAATGATAGCACACGTCTTTATTTCAAGGAGCGGATATTCTTTTACTTTTAATTAATTTGAACTGATTGCCTTGACTTTTCAATTTTTAAAAACTCTTTTTTTTGAAATATTTCGGCTTAAGATTCGAATTTCATTAAACAAGTCATCGGATTGTTTAAATAAAAATGAATGAAAAGAACACAAAAAACAGGTAGCCTTATTCATATAACCAATCCTAAAATATTAGTTTATTCACCAAAAAGAGACAAATCCTAGAAATCCTAAGATATTAGTTTGTTCACCAATCCTAAAATATTAGTTTGTTCACCAAAAATATTAATTTGATTTTTAGGATTTGTCTTTTTTGAAAATATTAGTTTGTGATAATGAGGAGTTACCAAATAATCAAACTCATAATGTTGTGTACAAGGAGGTTTTTAATGTATGATTGTTACCGAACTTTTTATGATTCAACAATGTTCCTATGTATTTTAATGATTTCAATTTCGATCCTAATGCACGTGAGGTTATATTATTCTTCCAAATTTTACATCCCGATCGCACGGGTTACGTACTAGTTATCATTATTATATTTAAAATTAGGGCATTAACTGTTGGGCTAAATGCGAGTCCGCCAGATCCCAATTCCATTTGTTAAAAAATAGGGGACAATTCAATCGTTGCCATAGATCCAATCTGATTAAATAAAAATTAATCTCAACCGTACAATCTAGGGCTACACTAACCATATAATTCAGCGTCAAGCAGTATTGAGTTCTTCCCCTTCTTCTTCGCCTAAGCCCACGAACCCCTTAAGATCAAAATGGTGCAGCGGCTGACTTACAGGACGCGTCATAGCTACGCCACAAAATCAAATCAGCACAGGGTCGTCAAAACTCCCGGTAATCAATCTTACCTTAAAAGAATGAAACAATTGAAATGTGTTGTTTGTTCGTATGTTGTTCTGTTTTTATTTATTGAGATGGCTTTGAGTTGATGTGCATCATGGTTGGATTTGTTTTTTGATTTATAATTTGCTGTATTTTATTGTTACGAGTTTGGGTTTTTTATGTGTTGCTGATTGAATGTGTGTTGTGTGTGGAAAAAAAGGGGGAAAGCTAGTGTACCAGAGCACTAAGAAGAGGGCAAGTGGACCAAAGTGCCCAGTTACTGGCAAGAGAATCCAAGGGGTATGCTCCTTTTTTTGTTAACTATTTTAAATCTATAAGCAAGAGAGGTGTTAATGCATTTCATGTACATGGTTTTAAAAAAATGAAGATTGAGCTTTTGTTTAGCAATGTCTTTTTGGAATATATGATCGTTTATTTGTTGGAGCAAAAACAAGTAGATGTGTTGTTGTATGATTCTACTTCCCTTTTGGACCAAGTTACGTGTTTGATGTTTATACCTTGGCACCTGCATTTATGAATAGTAAGTTAGCTATTAGACAGATTGTTATTGATGAAATGGCTATTTGATTGTTATCCCTTTATTGAGTTTAAATTGTGGTGTTGGTATAGTTGTTTGACCATTACATTTGCTGAACTTCTTATCACGTGGTTTAGTGACTTGTTGGACATGTTAGCGCCATTTCATTTTTTATTGTGCTTCTATTTTGCATCATAATACCTTTTGCGTTTCACTGTTGTTGGAGTTCCTGCATTCTGAATAAGCATTCCTGTGACAGGCTGAATTTGAACATATATGCTTAAGTCTTATTTCTGGTCTTTCGACTTCTGGTTAATTATAATTCGATTACAGTGGTGAAGGTGCTAGAAAGACTTGTATACACTTAGTCATCTTTGCTCATATTTGATCTCTGGTTCAGGTTTCGTGCATAGATCTTGTAATGAAAAGATAATTTTTGAATATGCTAAATTAGTTTCTTGATGGTCGGTGCCCATGTTGATGTACTGTCTGGTGGCTTTATGTGGCGTATTCCATTTTTAAAGAACTTTTAATGATTTATTTTTCTCTGCGGGTACTTTCATTTGGCGATTCTGAATTTAGTATACTTCTTTAATTATTTTTAAAACCAAATTCTGATAATGTACTTGATGATTTTCAATATGTGCAGATTCCTCACCTTAGACCTGCAGAGTATAAAAGATCTAGGTTACCCAGGAACCGTCGGACTGTAAACCGTCCTTACGGTGGAGTATTGTCTGGTGCTGCTGTGAGAGAAAGGTACAATCCATCCTTTTTTGAGGCACTTGAAAGTACTACCAAATAATTGCCTGAACATTTTTCTTGGATTCCCTAAGCTTAATTGTGTCTCTTCGTGTCTGTTAAAGGATCATTAGGGCCTTCTTGGTTGAAGAACAAAAGATCGTGAAGAAGGTTTTGAAGATACAAAAGGCCAAAGAAAAGCTTGCTTCGAAGAGTTGAGATGGTTTGGAGGGAAATAGGAAAAAATCGGAGGAAATGAGGAATTGTATTTTGAAGTTTTGATGCTTGTTTACATATATATTTGCACTGGATTCTTGGAAATACGACTCCATTTCTATCTTTTGTTTATGAGCTCCATTGCAGTAGGTTTTTTTTTTTTTATTTTATTGGTCTCGTTCATGACAATCACACTCCTATGTGGTTTGGATTTAATTGAATGTACTCAACTTTTTTCTTTTAACTGAGTCCTCTCTGTTGCCTTCACTATTTTTGTTATGTTGCTTGTGATTGGGGTTGTCTAAATAGCTTTCTCAGAGATGAAATGCAGGTATATTAGAATTTTAAGCATCTCCAATGGGCTTTCAATTGTAGGATTGTGGAAGGAATTCAATAGAAAACATCTCCAACCCTCAATTCAGCTTCCATTTTTGTTTTGTTAAAAAGATTTGCAGTTTGCTGTGTGAGGCACCATATAGGGATGTAAATGGGTCGGGTCGGTGTGGGTTTTGGCAAACCCGAACCCGAACTGCATGAAATTTACTCAACCCGTACCCGACGCATTACCTGGTTACTGAACTTCGTGTTCGGGTTGGGTTTTACCCAATGGGTTATCGGGTCTTTATCGAGTAAACGGGTAACCCGACTTCTTAAATTTGGGTATTAGCCGGTCTCATTCCGATCCGATCCGTTTCATGCATAAAGAAATAAATAAAATAATTTCACAATTAAATATAATGTTACTAACAATTTATTAACTAAGGTTGTCAATAAAATGACTAAAAAAATTCTATATTATATTTGGAATAAATATTGAGATATAATTATTTATTTTTTATAGTCTAGTTAATAATATAACATTTAAAAAAATGAAGTATTTAAATTTTATATTGTACAACTAAAAGAAAATTCGATAAAAAAATCACAAAAATAAAATAATATTTAAACCATTAACCAAAATTATAATAAATAATTTAATTTATATTTATCATATGACACACACACACACACATATATGTGTGTGTGTGTATGTGTGTGTGTGTGTATGATTCAATGTTGCGGTAAACGAGTAGGGTAATTGGGTCGAGTAATAGGTTTTTATACCAAACCCGAACCCAACCCGACCCAGAGTTCGGGTAGCATGATTCGACCCAAACCTGACTCGAAACCCGACCTAAAAATACGGGTAACCCGACCCTATGGGTTTAATTGACATCCCTAGCACCATATCAGTAAAATGTTCAAATGGTACAATGTGAACATAACTTAAGTTACACACAAAAAAAAAAAAAAATAAATAAAAAAAAATAAAAAAAAATGCAAAGGGTGTTAATAATGTTAGTCTGGGGTATAGTTACATGTAACCTTACATTCTGATCATAATAATTCGCCAGAATTGAACTTTAGCCCTCTCCTGTGGATCATCTGGAAACAATTTGGATTGGAGTCGTTTTTCAAGCACTCGTCAACATATTCAATAATGATGGATGACTCAGCAATGGGTTTGCCATTGTGCACAAGAACAGGAACTTTCTTGTCAACACCATCGGATTTGAGGAGCAAATCACTTTTGTTACTTAAATCCTCCTCTGCATTCATAAGATATGCCCTTTAATTTGAGACCAATTCAACACTGATGCATAATGAGCTAAACCATGTTCTCAACGAATTAACCTCACATTTTTGCTCCATCTTTTTTCCTCCTTTTCTTTCTTTCTTCTATTTTTNAAAATGATGAAATTCAAATGGAAAATTTCTACGGAAATATATTCTCATTGAATTCCAACGGCAATTCCAATGGATGTTATAATGCTATTATTTCCGTTGAAATTTTTCAATGGGTTCTAAAAGAAATTCCAACAATAATATTCCGTTGGAATGAATTTTCCATTGAAATTTCGGTTGGAATTTAATGATTCCAACGGTGGATTTTTCAACGGGGTTGGAAATAAAAATTCCAACGAAAATTCTGAAATCATCAAATTCCATCTAAAATTTCAATGAAAAACTCATTCCAACGGAATATTTTCGTTAGAATTTCCGTTTGAAGGATTCCAGCGAAAGCTACACCATTGAAATATCCGTTGGAATATATTACCGTAAGATTTTTCGTTGAAATATAACAATTTTTTTGTAGTGATTGTAGCATTTATTTGTGTATATTAACATATATAATGGGACATATGGCTGTTTTTTTTTAATTTTTTTAATTTTTCCTGCTCATCTTTATTAAAGTTGATTGTGAAGGCTATTGTGCAAATTTTCGACACAAAATAGAATGTTTGTGGTGGAGTACATTTTTATATTTTGTAGTCACTATTATTTCCTTGAATGTTTTTTGAAATTTTGAAAAGCAGATTTAAAAAAGCTTCGTTATGGTCAAAGTGGAGAATTTTTTTTTGAAGCAATAAAGTTCACAATGTACAACCACGCCATTATTTATTTATTTATTTATTTATTTATTACACTGGAATACTTCAGACCAGGAGAGCAACATTAAAAAGTTTCAAATTTCTGAACCCCAACCCACCCCATTCCTTAGGCTTAGACAGAGACTCCCAGTTAGCCCAATGAGTTTTATTTCCCCCTGATCATTAGAACCCCACCAAAATTTAGCCACTACCCTACTGATATCTTGACAAATGCTGACAGGGATTTGAAAACAAGACATCACATAAGTAGGGAGTGCTTCACGAACAGATTTAATTAGCACCTCCCTCCCTGCAGCACTAAGAAATTTGTTTTTCCAGCAAGACAATCTATTAATCACACACTCAATCACATATTTAAAAGTAGCTCTCTTAGATCTACCAATACCTAAGGGGAGCCCTAAATTTTTGGTAGATCTTACACAAAGGATGCCATTCAACAAATTACAGATTCTCACTTTGGAACTATGAGGGGTGTTCAAAGAAAATAACACAAAAGATTTGTTCAAATTGATGCACTGCCTGAATCAACACCATAACAGTTAAGAATATGCAGAATGAGATGAGCATGGTATTCACCAGCTTTACAGAATAAAATAGTGTCATCTTCTGCAAAAAGGTGAGAAACTACTAATTTGAATCCCAGAGTACAAGGATCTAGAACAAGCTTGGTGAACTTGATTCCTTCTTTCTTTGATCAAGTTAATGTTTTTCCGAATCATGTATTTCCAATTTTACATTTCCATTTTTTTTCCCCCAATAAATCGGATCCTCCAACGTTGTCCTTGTGCTGTGAATCTGATCACCTACAAAAACGCTGGGATTATTTCTAGTTTAGGGTTACTATTCCAACCGAACAAAACCGAGCACTTCTTGTTCAAGCTCGTGCTTATTTAATAAATGACACGTAAAAGTTCACTCGTTTAACATACATAAAACATAAATAAGTTGTTCGCGAACAAACTCGACTTGTTCATTCAAAAGNGAAAAAAAAAAAAAAAAATAAATAAATAAACGAGTTATTCACAAACAAACTCAACTCAACTTGTTTGTAACCATGCTCAATTAGTTATTCGAGCTCAACTCTTCTAAATAAAGGAACAAGCTTAGCTTGACCTTTAACGAACCGAGTTGTTAATTCAGATAACATTTAATTTCTAGTGTAAACACTGATGGACCCAATCAATCAAATAATGAGATCCTCTCGTTAGTGCTACATAAAACGACATAAAATAGCTAAAGAATAGATAATGATTTTACCTTTTGCCTTCATATCATACTTATTTATACTCATAGGTACTTGCAAGAGTATGTGAAGTATATTTTATCCTTCCTATAAATCAGATACATCCACCTATCCACCGCCTCATCATGGGATAGATAGATAAATTTATCTATCAATCCAAGGCTCTCGACCTGCTTATTTAGTCTGAAACTAGTACGCTAGCCAATATGAATCCCATATCAATTTTGTTTTTATTTGTTAAATAATCGGAGTAGAGTACAAAATCCTAACGTGGTTTTCATTCTTATAAAGTGAATAAAAATTACACGATGACTGAACTTGCAATTATGTGGCGAGATAACTCTATCCCCAAGACAAATATGCCCCATGAGGTGCTTACGATTCAAGACATCTCATTTCAAAATATATTACTCATCTATGATCCTTAGTACACTTGAACGAAGCTGAAAACAAAGCACGAACACAAGGCTTTGAGGGCAGAGGATTCTGAATGTATATGATGAATGGTTCAATCTTATTGCAACTTTCGACATGTCCTATTTATGTGAATCCCAATCATCCAAGGTAATAATCAACCCACTAAAGGCAGTTATAATGAGCAAAAAATCATCAGGTATTAAACCCAATGTTTATCACGACACGACACCTGAAGACACTTGGTAAGTCCAGAAAGTGTCTCGGGTGACAACACCAGGTCTCACAGGCTGAAGCTTTATTTGGGCCATAAAAGTGCAAATAATTTTCCAAGCAAAAATTTATAAATGCCCAAGCCCAATATGACCATCCAAAATCGTCCAAGTAGAAGAACCAAGCCTTGGCCCAAGCCCAAGCTCATGCCAAGGCTGAGTTGGCCGGCTGGCGGGCTCCTGCGTGTGGCCAAGCTTTTAACTACAATTAGGATTTTACTATGACTGTATATCTTTATTCTTATAAAGTTCAATGTGAATGGGTGTTTTCAAACTTCCAATTTTTCTCACACAAAATATTTAACACCACACTTAGAATGTAACTTTGATTCTTACTCATTATTATAAAGTTCAATGTGCATAGGTCTTTTAAACTTCCAATTTTTCTCACAACAAATATTTAACACTTATTAAATGATTAACTTTCATAATTTAACTTTTGCTCACAGAAATAAATATAATATAAACATTGTCAATATTTTGTTCTACCTGTGCGTTTATTTGTTTTTCATTTCCCAGTTTCTCTTCCTGAGTTGATTATTTATGTCAAGTCTCATTCTTATCATTCTCAAATAGACACAAAAGTATTACCATAACATATTTTCAGTACTCAATGGTCACATACAAATCCATCATAACTCTCTTCAATGACTGGCCTTTGGTGTGGGCGTCTGATGTGTCACATACACCATAAATCTAAATCTATATCTATATATTATTAAAAAACTAAGTATATATAAACAGACAAAGAAAAGTTTTCGCCTTTTATACTACTAAATAAATAAACATTCTCGTTATATATAATCTTTAGTATCTATAGGGCATTTTATCAACTTTTTACATATTAAACACACCAAATTAATCACATATTTATGACACTCATATTGGTTATAATATATACAACTAAAAAAATTTATTTTTATATTTATATGAACAGTATTTTCATAACTAAAATGTATATTGCATATAATCCTTATTTTCATATTGAGAGAGCTATTATTTACTTAATAAATTTTTTTTTTAAGTTNAAAAAAAAAAAACCTTCACCGTGTGTGTTAGAGAGAAATGTATAAATGTTGGGAGTACGATTAATGGTGACGTGGAAATGAGATTTAAGGTTTTTAAAACAAACATGAATGTATTATATAAAGTTTTCAGTTAAAAGCACTACATATAACTACATATAATTGTGAGTAGTAGTGATAAGCATGAAACTGATTTTTAAAAAGTATAGTATAACTACATATAATTGTGAGTAGTAGTGATATGCATGAAACTGATTTTTAAAAAGTATAATGTAACAATTTTACTCTGAATCATGTTTCTTAGATTGTGTACTACTATAATATGAGTTTAATATGTAACGTACAAATAATTGAATGTTTCGGTCATAACCAATTTTACGGTAATTTTAAAATGACCAATTAAAAAATAAAAATATTTTATAAGAGAAAACAAGTCGGAAGAGTGACAGACATCAAATATCGCGTAAACAAAAAAAGTTCACAAACAAATATATCATCTTAATGATTTTTCATACATTAAATACTTTATTTAGCTAAGTATAATCAAATTAGCATCACCGGTGCATGTGTACGGATCAAAGGGTACTAGTTATATTAATTGTAATTTAGTCTCATATATATGGCACAATTACCATCACAATCAAGAACTTTAAATCTAATCAACACTATCTAAATATTTATAGCTCTGTTTATAATGTACATATCAAGAGATGTTAAATGGGCCAATTACCCAAAGGGCAGCCCGTGTAGCCCGAAAAATAATAGGATTACACACTTTAATTATCGGCCTGCCTAAATCAATTTTCTGTATTCATTTATTTTTTTGCAACAAAATAGCCAGAGCCTGTTAGGACCCCTATCGTGTTCTTATTAAAATAAATAAGATTTTAATACCCAATCGTGGATCCTTTGTGTCCAAAATTTGAGAGATCCAAGTAAATATAATAACAATTAAATATAATACCACTGAAATTCAGTAACCTTTTTGAAATTACAAACTCACCCTTGACCTTCGTTTAACTTTTACAAATATTTTCTATTGAAAAAATTTGAAGTTTTTGCTGCATTTAGAGCCAGACCAGAAGTGTGGTTTTTACAGTTAGATGGTACCTGGTTCAAATAGGTTGCTGACTCATCTGAATCAAAATGCCTGTATCAATTCCTTGATATTGTATCCTTGAAGCTACACAATAACAACAAGACCGAAACACCCTTGTACGTGAATTGAGAAAGGCCCAAAAGAATATAAAAGAAAGGGCAAATAAAGAATGGAGAAAAGAAAGAGAATGCAAATTCATGTCTTTATAATATAGTAAAGCACGCATCGTTGCAGAACCAAATTGATTACCTGCAGGAAAGTTAGAAGCAAGATAACTCCAGAGTTCCAAAATGCATGAATCGTGATTGGTGTCAGAAGGTTGCGTGTTTGAGCGTAAGAAAACCCCAAAGCGGTTCCTATAAGAATCACAACAGTGCACTTGAGAAACATGTATGCATAATTAACTCCAAAAACCTAAATAAGGTTCTATTTGATGTAACGCACCTAGCATTTTCATTTGGATTAATTACTATATAGTATTGTGATGCATGAAGGGCTGAACTAAAGTTTATGTAGTTAAACTTTTGCCTGACCATGTAGAGGTATACTCCTTACATAATGTGGACTTTCATCTAATACTACATATTTTGTTTAGCTTCTTTACCATTCCACAAGGGTAAGTTTTTGGTAGAAAAAGTAAGAAATAAGCAATTTAACAGAAAAAAAAAGTTGATTACCAAGAACAAAGAGCTGCGGAAATTCTCCAGGAGTGAAATGTGCTCCTGCAAATACTGCAGCACTTATAAGCACAGCAAATGGTGTGGGCAACCTGCACAAATAATTAAGAGATCATCAATCACCAATAATATAATAATAATAATAAACTGCATTCAATTCCACTGGCGTTAACAATTCTTCAAAACAACTGCATATTGGCAAAGAGAAATCATTTTCATCTATGACACATTTTACTAAATCTTCTTCTTTCTTTGGGAATCTAGAATTACAAGAACCATTAGTATCTAGATCTAATGAACTAATTTAAGAACTAATGAACTCGTTTAATGCATGGTAAGATGATCACTATTATGACAATCATAACCAGACAGCTTGGCCTATACAAAACGTCCTTTTAAACACCATTTAATAAAAAAGCCCAGCAACCCATACACATGTAATATACAGTAGAGAGTGACCAAACATCTCAAAATAACCATATATGTGCTTTAGTGAAAAAGGCTGCCACTTGTAGTTATGACGGTCCATACTGAAGAGCCATTGCTTTATAAGTTGGCAATTTGTATGGCTCCAGTATTATCACAAATAAGAGGTAGGGGGGGCATCATAAGAAAATATTAAAATCAACTAAGAATCATCAATCCATACAATTTATGTAGTGGTAGTGGTATATGCTCGACTTTCTGCATCCATAATAGACCGAGATACAGCTGCCTACTACTCTTGGGACTTCCATATATGAGGAGAACTAAGAAGAATGCAATAAACAATGACTCCCATATATGGGATAACGAGTGTAGACCTGAACTGAAACTTTTGGCATTACCATTTGCTCATACTGATACCCAACCAAATTTTAATTGGTTACCAAACTTTTGGCAATCGAAAAATCGGTTCGATATTAGTATTATTCAGTAATATCGAAAATTATCAAGCATCAAAACATAAGAGGAAAAAAGGATAAGAAAAAAGAGAGTTTCAAAAGCTGCACAACCAAAGATATGCACCACTATCTGCATGTAATAGGTTCTCCGAAAAAAAAAGAAAGATGATCATGGACTAACACTATTTATGATAGCAATCATCATTTACCATGTTACGAACCTTCTAAAATCCCCAATACTATAGATGAAAATATATATAGAGTCCTCCATGGGTCATATGGCCTATGATATATGGCTGTCATGCTTAACAAGAAGCATTTTACCAATGAGTTGAAATGAAAACCCCAAAATTATCAAGCATGAACTCGAGCGAACAAGGTTTGTACCAAGAATTAATGGATTCATTTTTTTTCTATTGAAATCTTATACTGAACAATATTAACAACCTGCTTCAATATCAAACTCTGATAAAGGTACTGTATCTAAAATTCAACGATGATCTACACTGAAGGTTAGTACTTAAAACCCACACAAGGTATTACCATTTGGTAAGAGAGACCATTAAAAACCCTCTAAAGACTGTCTCCTCGAGAATCGGAGCAAGAACACCTGTGATGCCCACCAAGCAGGCAGTGCTATTTTTTTAAAAAAGAGAAAACAAAAGAAAAAAAAAAACGAAAGATTAGTACAACTGCATGACAGCTCAATCGCAAAAAAATATGTAAAGCACACATGCGGAGTTTAAAAAATAACATTTATCATGAATATTGGAAGCCCTACCTGACAGTTGATGATCCAATCAACGGGAGCAAGAGCACGAGAGCATCGGTCTAAATAGAATAGAAGAGATTTTCACTAAATATTCTTGGATGTAAGGGATGCTGTGTGGGTATCGATTATTAGTAAAACAAAATAAATTACGTAAAACTACTGTATACCTCTCTCTGTGGGGTCTCACCATTGAAAAATGCCATTGCAGCCCCTGTAATGGCTATGGCAGCTAGAGCTCCACCAAGACCAGCTCCAGCATATAGCAACCAACCTTTCTTGAGATCAAAAGGGTTCCTCCAGTCTGAATCATGTAATTTACCATTAAGTCATCTCAGTTTCTTGAGAAATATACACAAATGAATTTCAATGCATGGGCCATGTTGGCTAATTACCATATCTGTATATGTCATCAGGAAGGGGAGAGAACGATTTTGTCAGGCTGTACAGCACAGCAAGAACGACTGTCGTGGCAATGCTACACCAGATCAAAAAAAACAATTATGCATATAAAAATGTGTGTTTAATGAAGAAAGTGCAGGAGGAACCAAAAGAAGAGAAGAAGAATGCATAAAAATGTGTGAAAAAGAAGAAGAAGAAGAAGAATGTGTGAAGAAGAAGAAGAAGAAGAAGAAGAAGAAGAAAGCTGAAAATTGTTTCTTACCCTTGATCTAGAAGTAAGATTTCTGCCTTCTCATCCAAACTTAACTCTGTAATTTTAATTCCCAAGTACTGCAAAGCTGCGGCCTCAATTAGTCCTGTCAAAGTAAAACTGTCTAAAATACTAATTAGTTTTCGCAAATATAACCAGTTCAAATCATTATAATTATGCTATTACTAAACTGGAACTAGGCAAACTAGCATGGTTAAGGCCACCTCAATCCACATGCAAGTGAGGTCAGAGAGATTGTTTGCCAATTCCAAGGCACGTCCCAGCGATTTAGTATTCTCCAATTTAATAATTTATCCTGTAAAAACAAAACAGAGCACTATAAAAACCCAAATGTCATTTTGATTTGATTGAAGGAACTAGGAATTATTTCTCAGGGGATAAAATAAAAAAGGCAGCAACGAAAATTGGAAAAATTAAACCAAAAAGGATGTATAAAGGCATAGACCCTTTCAAGCATCAGAAAAAAGAGATTCCCTTCATCCCAACACTCCAACATTAGATTTTTAACCCAAACAAGTATGGCTGCTCCTTTTCTGATTATTTGAATAACAAATTTCAAATTCCACATGTTGTAACTAAAAGATGTCCATCACACTACCAGAGGTCGGTTTTTATCAATAAAACTGTCGAGTAGCGATTTGATCTACCTAACTCGTAAAAACGTGAATAAAGTTATATTGAATTAGGAAGCTAATTTATGGAATTATCCATGCATCACATAGGAAATTATTACAATACTGTTGTTAATTGAATTAAACTAAGGAACAAGCCAAGCTTCACCATTACAAAATATATTAGTTTCATGGCGTGACAGATGTGACAAGACCACTTTCATCAAACCGCTTTATTCTGGCTGGAAACTGAGACGCACTTTTGTCTTTCTGTTTTCATGAGTTCGCAACTACTCTCATTGGCTAATTAAGCTATTATCACAGTCTTAGTATGCCAAACAAACAAGCCTGATTGTTTATGAAGGGCAGTCATGAATCATAGGAAATACGCAAGCAAGTAATTTACAGAAAACTCCAGAAGATGATGAGTTATTGCAATTATATTTGATGTATAAGTAACAGAGGGAAAGGTATTTATACTTAAGGTCATTCAGTTTTTTAGTCTTCTCATACAAACGAAATTACTACCTCCAGCTCCATTCCTGGTTTTCTCTCCATATCCATCAATTTTCTCAATTCAAATTAAAGACCCGTAGTTCTTTCTAAGGGTAATTCTAAACCACATCACAGTTTATTTCACGCGATAATTCAATCTAAAAGGATGAAGAAAAAAGTCAATGAAAAATATCAATAGTTCATAAGTGTGAACAGTAAGGCTATTGCTACTAAAATGTCAGACCCTAACAAATAACACAAACAAAAGTATGACATTTCATGCCATAAGTATGCATTTTTGTTACAAAGTTATGACGAGTCTGACCCTTCACACAAGAATTTATCAAGTATGAAGTCTTCTATACAGCATAAATCCGATTCATTCTTATCGACCTCAAATTACCCATATAAGTATCAAATACAAATTAGATAAGAAAATCACTTCAATTCAAAATCATCAAGAAGAAACAGAAGAACACAAGATACTGTAGATGGGATTTATTAAAAAAACTAGCAAAAGCATAAAGCTCACATTTTTGACATTATCATCAGGCGTGTTGTCCTTGTAACAGACAACTCTATTACGGAAACCTCTCGAGCTTATGCCACGAAGTTTCAGAGGAGTCGTCAGGGGAGAAAAGCGAAGGCCGTCCTGCAAATGGGATTTAACGTGGGAACATAGTTTTGGTGATAGAGGGAGAGTAGAGATCGAGGAGCGAGTGAATGATGCGAAAAAAGGCACTGCTGCTGCCATTTTAACAAATTGGAACGGATTTTTAGTTTTTTTTTCCTAATGTAAATTGCGTAGTTGAGGTATTTATTTCTTTTATATAGTACCCCGCAATAATCGAAGATAAGGCCCGATTTTCCCAAAGAGGACCTTATTACGTGATGGACGGTAATGCGGAATGAGTTGTCCTTCTAGGCCATGTTTGAAAGGGGGATGAGGTTATATTATATATTAATCTTGGATAGGAGGTTTACACTGTTAAGATTTGTGAAATCTTGGGTTTGGTCTCCATGATTGTGTGGAATTAAAACAATTGAAAAAGTTCAATGTAGTGTTTGCTGTAGGTGACAATTTGTATGATAAAACACCATTTTACTGATTTGCCCTTATTTTTTACAAAAATTTCCAACACATCTGTATATGAACATTGTCAATCAATTTCCCCAAATTTTAACCTAACATCTGGCGCTGGTGCAAAACGACGAACGGTTTGCGTCGACCGTTCAAGCAAAATGAGAATCGGCAAGAGGTGCTGCGCCATGTGGCTCGCATGTGAGTAATTCTTCCATTCTCCGCTCAGTCGTCGTTAATGAGTGTATGAAAGTGGTTTACAATTTGTTTCTTGTTTTCTCTGATATATGGGGTAACTGCAAGACAGGTTTAATTTGTAATGGTGTTTACTTCGTATTGAAGTAGTATTCAACCAATTTCCCTCAAAAAATTGGCGCAAATTCCAATCCATTTTGTTGAGGGGTCATAAACAGTAGCGGAATACAAAATGGGCAATATCTCTCTAAAATTCTTGTCCTAGTTTATTTTATTTTCATTATGTTTTTGGGGTCATATCGGTAGGCAGTGGTGGTGCACATGCCACCAGAATTGAAAAACAAAAAAGCAAATCTTGCTATGATGTTGTGTCTAATCAACAGTCTGCTTATTCGAACCCATGTGCTTGTATTCAAAAATGTATCATTATATTCTCTGTTGTGAAGTTCTCTACTGCGGGGTTCCTGTCAATTTCCTGAAGATTAGATTATAGCAGTATCATCCTGTTTGGGAGGGAGATTAGACAACCAAAAAATGGCTGAGATGGTGTATTGTATTCTCTTTTCAGCTTTATGAGTCATTTACAACTCATACCTTGTGTTCTGTGCTTATGCATCTATAAACTTTCCTCCTTTTGTATGGTCCTTTGATCTTCTATATATAGACATAGTCATTTAACAATGAAATTCATACGGAGGTTGCAAGCAGAAAATTGTATTTAGTTAAGGAAAAAAAATTGTGTCCTTCAAAAGCAGTTTAATGCCTCGTTTGGGAAAGGAAGCCACACAAGACGAGCTTCTTTATGATGCTCGTTGGACCAAAGACGTGGACAACCTCTTCATAGACCTTCTTGCCGAGGCACATGTTGGTGGGGAATGGAGACAGGGCAGACCAAGCCCTCATGTATTCCACTACTACCATGGTGTATTAGATGCAGATGTCGGTGCAACCTTTACTCTCAAAGAACTTGAGGAACGGTTCGATTTTCTTCACAAGCGGCTCCGTGTTTTTAGTTGGATGCTACAAAAACACGGGTTGCGTCATTGTGTTGAAGCCAAATTTCTCTTGCTATGTGTTGAAGCCAAATTTCGAGGGGCCTCTGTTGTTCTTTGTGTTTTACTGACTGAGGTTGTTTAGGTCAATGGGTATGGTAAATACGTATTAAAAAAAAAACTTGAGTATGTTTATAAGATGTGTATTATAAAAGTTTGAAACGATAAGTACAATGCAAATTAAACACTTTATTGAGCCTTGTGAACATGAGGTACTTTGTGTTGTAAGGAAGTTTGTTGAAAGTTATCAGTTCTGAGGAGTAATCACTTTTTATTGTCTGATCCCATTACTTTTTGGTATGTAGTCCGACCCATTCTCGGTGGCATACCAACATTCCGGGGACCCGCGTTGGGCGGACATACGATATTTGTTCACAGAGGTGTACGAAGCCACATCAAATGCACCATTGGTCTTGGACCAAAATTCCACCAACGAATATGATGTGGCTTGGTTGACCGAACAGTCCTACGTCTTCTCGCTTTCTTCTATCACTAATGCAACATTAAATGGCTCAATCGGAAACAACCTTTTACTTCCACCAAATCCCCGAGAACGTGATGCTTCCTCGGAAGGTTCAGTGAACACACACACACATGTGAACATTCTAAGGCGGGGGGGTGGAACACCGTTGCGTATTCCCCGACCACCGCGTAAGCCGGCGCCATCATCATGCAAAGGGTCTTCTAGTGATCCACGGAACTGAACTGTTGTCATTTTCCTTCAATGTCGTACTTTTACGATTCCGTACTTTGTGGCCATTGAGCCTTTCATTATTGGTAGTTTCTAATGCGTTGATGCTTGTATTGATGAAAGCCCGTTTCTTATTTAATCCTCGGTTTATGTTCATTTGATTCATATATGTGTTCATGAAAGTTTTGCTCTTCGTACATCATGTGTACCAACGTTTTTCCATTGGAGATTGTAGTGTGTGGTATGGTTCATACAAAACTAGGTACTTATTTGTTCCAATGTACAATTCCCTTCCAAACGAATTCTGTTTGTTTTCAACTTCGGTTACCACTATGACATACATAGGCTGGATGTATTTTTTTGTAAACTCATATTCAAGTTTCATGTAAACATCTGCCTTAGAACATATTGCTTCAAATTGTGTTTAGTAGAAGGACAACTTGCTGGTTTAATTAAAAAAGGCACACAACATGTATCAGTAGCTTCAATATTGACATAAAATTTTAATACACCATATGAATCTCCCATTACATGCCATGCACTGCATCTTACTTCGCACCAAACACACCAAAACTTTGGGAGATTGACTTATCAAAAGTACTTTAGGTTAAAGGCAGCCTAATTTAAAATTAAGCACACTAATGACGTAATAAAAAAACACACTTACGAAAGATAGAAACCAGCAACATATACTCGGGACCAAAGTACCAAAAAGAGTTGTAAAACCGTCCCTAAAACTTGCTGTAAGCTGCACGGAGTCCACGCAGGAGTCGACATCTGACTCATCATCCATTATATCCTCATCGGCCTGCACATCATTCAGCGGATCCACCCACAGTGGGTTTTCATGAAATAGGCCTGCAACATCCTGCTCAACTTCAACTTCATCCTCCATGCCATCTTCTGACCACACATCTGACATAGTATCATCTAGACAAATTGGATAGCTGTTATTCGCACCGGGGTTAGATTCGAGATCAACATCAGCAGCCCCTCGTACGTTCCACACCTGCAGACAATGGTTGTACCATTTGAAGCCATTCAAATGAAAAAAAACACCTGCAAATCGGTCTCCTGCATGTATAGAATAAATTTATATTTTGCTGTCAACTTTATACCGGGGTGATTAAAAAAAGATGTTAACCAACGAATATACAAATACCTCTCCAATGACATTCCAATAATCTCTGTTCACGCTAACCAAACCGCCGTCATCATGCACGCGAACTCCCGGTGTGGTCGTGTAGCGAAGGAAAAGGCGGTAATGCCCCTGAAGACAATGGATTTTCTCCCGCACCTTCTCCGACGTAAAGTCCTTTTGCATGAGTTTCGATAGCTGATAGGAAATTCCGAACCACAGGGAATTTAGGACTGGTGCCCTATCTACGTCCTCTGTTTCAGAACACTTTTAGAAGAAGAGACAATAGCAAACCTTCTCTTCCCCCTCGGTCCACCCCTCCAACCTGAACCCGCGCGCAATGTTTTCCAAACTCGTCATCTGATCCATCACAGCGATGCAAAAACCTGTTATGTGAAAAGAAATAAAAAAAAAACAAAAACAAAATAAAACAAGTATTAATACACAAAGTTTTTATTTGATCATTTAAAAAAAATTTGGGTTTAAGGATCTACAGAGCAAAGTGTTTTTGTGACGGTGTGGATGATGTTGAAGTGCCATGCAGAAAGGTTGTATTAATAGCGGATGGTGAGGGTCATCACAACACCAATTTACACCATATTAATTTTGGTTGGTAACTATCTAGTCATAGCAGTCATTAAATGGAAATCATGATTAACCTTTGGTTAGCATCTTTATGGACGTTTTTGGCTCATTTAAAGCCGACACTAAATGTGAGTAGTTAAGTTGATAGCCATGTTATCAGGTTTGTTATGAAGTCAACGGTTGGCTCCTTAGTGGAGTCAACCTTGTATAGACAACAATTAAACCATACCATATTAATTAACAAACAAACTCCCTCAGTTGGGGTAGTACTCGTATACAGACCCAAATAATATTAATTACAGATATTTAATAAATTTTGATTGTTAAGAAAAAATTATATGTTATCAGTTTTACATGTATATATCAACTTATTAAGGGTTCTTTTTCTAATAAATTAATTTCAATTTTAAGTAGTTTAAAGAATAAGATAAATTTTTAAAACAAAAGCACGTGTACAATAACGAAGGTTGTACTAGTGTAAATTAAACCCAAACAAAAAATAATTATAAAAAGTCCATACGCACCATATTAACTGATTTGTTTAAAAAGTTGGATATATGTAATTTCATAATTACCATTAAAGTAAAGTATAATTTTTTGGCACATGTACATATGCATTTGCACAAAAATGATGGAACTCAAAAATAATGGACCTCTCCAACTATAATATATTTATGTACGCATTTCATCCACTGGCTGTGGCATGCAAAATCTCGCATAATAACCCAAAATTTACGGCATTAGTCAACGCCAGTCGTGATGGTGGGGCCCGTTCTTACAATGGACGAATCACAAATTCACAATGACCGACGTGCCTTTTTCCATTTCATTTTATTTAAATGCATCACCCAACCCTTGCCAAAGTGAATTTAAGTTTGTAACTTTTTAATTACCTAAATTATTTTACACAGGTGAAGACCGTATCTGTGTAGAGAAAGGCTCGATCCCACAAACCCACGAAGGATTGTGGAAGAGAGCGATGACGGATTGTGGAATACAGTACATCGCTTGAATTCAGAGGTACAGATTCTCGGACGTTTGTGCTCTTTTGTTTGATATGTACAATAAAAGGGTTAATGGATATTTTCAAGGATAAAGGTTTTCTTCTTTTCAATTCCGGACATCACGGTTAAAATTGGGAATTTGTGTATCGATTTTCCGCATTACAGTTTCTGATTTACGCGAAATTGATATTGTAGAGACAAAAACAGAATCAGTGAAACACGGGTCGAAGGTAAAGGGTTTGTATAATTTATTTGGGAATTAGGGTCTCTGATTTTGGGATTTAGGGTAGGTCAAATGTTCTAATGTAAACCACTTTACCAGATATTCTTGTTTACTGTCTCACATTTACTTGTGCCTTTTTGATTTAAATTATCCTGCACCCTATTCTTTAGTGGGAGCCATTAAGTTGCCCTTGTCTGTATATGTTGTGAACATTGAAGCATCATTGTAGGGTTTCATTCATGGATAATGTAATTTTCATAACTATGACATTCCAAATGTTTTTGTAAACAACATTGTCTGAACTGTTGTGGTTTAATCTTGTGTTTTATTTTACTTAAATTTGGAAGAACTCTTGTGATAGTCTTTTCCTTCATTATTTATAATCACTTGATTAATGTATTTTTACGTACATTTTTTAATCTTAGATGCAGTATGTATCTTAAGTGTGGCTTTCCGTTTGGATTGTTGCTTGAATAATTACAATTAATTTATTAACGGTTTATCTTTACTTCAAGACTTCAAAGATGTCACAGGCTTCAAGCAGTGCTAAATATAGAGGACCAAGCAAACTGAAGTATGCAGAAAAAAAATGTGCTGATTGCGGAGAAAGACTTACAATTAGGATTGTTGGGTCCCGAACTCCGGATTATCAAAAACTCTATTACGGTATGGGTTTATGGGTTGGGCTAATCCAATAAATGAAGACGAAGTCTGCATAAGACAAGAAGTTAACATGAGTGACCATGTTGTAGTGCATCGTGAAAACTACAAAGATGTGAAAATAAAAAATAAGTTGGAAGTCATTTTCAATTTATTGATTGTGATATTGGTACTTGTACTTGTAGTACTTCTTATGATTTTAATGAAATAAAAACAATGTGTGTATGTACAAGTTGGACACGAGAGTTTGTTTGGTCATGAAAAAATGCATGGTTGTTTTTATTGTTCGAATTTGTCTATGAAGGTTATTTTAACATATAACATATGGCCAAGGTTATTGTGATAGTGGGGCTGCTGAACTAATGAAGAGGTGTATTTTTTGGTGCATATAGGAAAGGGAGAACTATTAAAGACACAACAATGTTGCCTATGTCAAATACAGTTGGTGACCGTGAATTTTTGTAAACAGACGACATCCTTACGTGTGGCGTCTATGAAAGCATTCTTAAGTAGGTACTGTTAGAGTAGTATACCCAGCGTTCCAATCGGATTAGACGTATTCTACTTGTAAATACGATCTATTGGAATTATATTGTAAATAAGGCATTACTTTATCTTAAGAGTAAGCCTTTATCTTATATTTGCACTTAAGATAAAATCCCTAGATCACTTATGGTTATAAGGTATGGTTGCGCATAGAGATGGTGATCATGGAACATACCTTGAAAGCCGTGATCTTAAATACAGTTCCAAGTCGATGGATGTTTCGAGATGGGATATCGAATAATCCATAAAAGACTTGCACATAGTTTGTACGCTTGTTGGACAAGAATGTTGCATTCCATCAACATTAGCGTGAGACGCAAATACATTTATGTGGGTGCTTGTTAGAGAACAAGTTTACTGGACATGACCGTATGAAAATTCTTAATGAAGAATTATTTTAGTTAATAATCTGTCGAATAAGAATTTTCATGTTACAATAGTACATGACTAATCCTAAGACTTGAGGCACAATGGTAACTTTGTACATATTACATTCTACTTTGATTTATCCTTTTGGTAGCTAGCACTATCGTATAAAGGGATATTTTGGGTATTATGTTAATATGTATGGAAGTTTGTTAGTGGCCAATAAAGGATTCGACACTTATGAAGATAAGTGAATTTCCTATGTATTTCATAGTTATTAATCCAAAGTCCTTGGCCAAGGCAGAGATGAATAGTGATTCATAACCGGGTTAATACACTTTGAAATAGAATCATAGTTATTAAGTAAATTTGGGTTTCGACAAAATCATACCCAAGACTTAATCGGGAAATTAGATGTCGAAAGGATTTTACATGTATGGAGTTGTAATCGGAATAGGTTTACTCGCTATTCACTTAATACTAGATTCATGATACTTGTTAGGTGTTACCATGATATGTGGGTTCATGAATTAAGGGGTTAATTCTTGAATAAGAGTTAATAAGATTTAACTCAAATTACAAAGTGTTGTAAACCCACTACTAGTATTAAGGTGAACCTAAAAGGTCACACTAATTATGAACAAAGGTAAAGATTGTATTTCTAATGGTTAGAATTAATTGATAAATATCTAATTTGATTAGATATCAATTAAAGGAATATATTAATCAATAAGATTGATTAATTACATTTTGGATATTACTTTAGTAATTAAGGTAATTACTAAATTAATAAAGTTGAATTTTAAAATAGGATTTTAAATTTCAAAAATCCAAAATAATAATAATATGATTATTATAATATTGGGAAAATGATATAATAATAAAGTCTTGAGAAAGATTCTCAAGATTTATTATCCAATTATTATTTATATCTTTAAATATGATTTAAGGATTAAAATAATAAATATGATTATAATAAAATGGTTGTTGATGGTTGTTTGAACTACTTAACATATCTTATTATTTTCAAAGTCAAAAGTTAGTAAATACTATTTAAATAAAATTTGATTTTATTTAATATTACTAAATGTTGATTATTTTATGCTAAAATGTTTAGTATAAATATATGCAAAATGGTTTTGCATTTAAGTGAAGTTTTTGATCCTAAATTTCTAAGTGTTAGAAAGAGAAGAAAGTGTTCTTCATAAAACTTCAAGAAAGAGTTCTTAAAATTCCCAAATAAAATTCATAAATATTCCTATACAAGAAAACCGAGTCTTTTCTACTAGCGAAGGAAAGTCGTCGGAACCGGGCTTCATAGGGTGGATACGTTTAGAGGGAAGACACTTGGATTCCTCTAGCGAGTAACCTCAAGTCGTTGAAGTTACAACCGGGAACCGATTCCCTCATCCATCATCAATAGTGAAGGAGTTCAAGACATTCGGTAAATATTTTTACTAGTATTTACTTTATAGTAACAAATCAAAATTTGTATATGATGCATGTTTTAAAGATGACGATCAGTTAATTCGCAATTAGTATGTACGGGTGTTGTATTTATACGATAAATACTTACTTTAAAAATTTTAAATTCCGCTGCGTACAGCCCGTACGGTACTATCGAACCCAACAGTGGTATCAGAGCCACGGTTATCGTCTTTAAAACAGATTTTGATTTGTTAAGACTTATGAGATAAGCAATATAATTAATTTTTTATATGATAAAAATATTAATTATAAAATTAAAAATCGTTTTTAAGCCACACGAGTCGTGTGACCTTGTCACACGAGTCGTGTGGCATGAAGAAAAATTTTGATTTTAGCTTCGTGATTTTCACACGAGTCGTGTGACCTTGTCACACGAGTCGTGTGAGCTCACACGAGTCGTGTGACGAGCCACACGAGTCGTGTGAGTCTGGGAAAAATTTTGATTTTCAATTCGTATTTTTCACACGAGTCGTGTGATAAGATCACACGGGTCGTGTGACCCTCACACGAGTCGTGTGACTCATAAATTGATATTTTATGTTCATTTCATTAGATGAATGTTTTAGGGATGATCATGAGCCTCATATTCATTATGTTTGAATGGATGTTTTCATTTTCAATATGATTGAATGAATGAATGGATGTTTAATTATGTTTTCAATATGATTGAAGAAATGTAATTTATCGAGACCTGCGAGTCTCTTGAGATGAAATTTGTAAAATTTTAAATTTTGTATCGTTAGAGATTAGATCAAGGTGGAGACCGTTCGATGACAAAGGCCCACGCATGTGTGGGTAAT